GTTTCTCTCTGGTCGTTGTCACTTGCGACCGCGGAAAACGAAGTGCAATCTCAAGCAATAGGACTGTCGAGCGAACTGCCCGTGTAACTTGAGGTGCGAGGCCAACCAATGACTCAATCTACTTCTAATTTTATTTTTCCATCGCTTTTACCACGTGCAAATTTATCCAGCTTATTTCGCTTCATTCGCGTGGCGAGTAATGCAACGAGACTTTAGCTCGCAGCCTTTATTTCATTGTAAATTTAATACTGGTCAGATGTTACGTCGTTGGCCAAATAATTTATTACGACATTATGTGATAATTCGGTTGATAAACACTGACATTGAACGTTCGTTAAACATTAGTAGAATTTATAATGCAGTAAACTAAGTGCGCTTAACAAGTCATTGTTTTGTTGAATTTGACGACCATTAACCAAAGCTTTAGATAAATATATAGAATAATTTGCATTTTTACGAAACAAGTTTTATCAACTCAATCGTTATAATAATAATTTTATCTAAATGACAGTATAAAATATATTCGTTTTGCGGCGTCTAAATTTGAACTATATTTTACATATAACAAGAAATTTTTTCTTTATGCCCTCATGTACGAGGATTTATACTCTGGTGAATAGAGCGAGGTATGAAATTTTTTTTTTTTTTTTTTTTTTTTTTTTTTAATCTATGTATTTATTCGGTTAAGCGCCTAAACTTCGCATATAAATAAATGGAAAATTCATGTTTTCCGGATTATTCAGGACTTTTACAACGCCTTTTATAATAAGGAAAATAATAATACTACGCGATTTAATGCACGGCTATAAGATTTTTCTTTAAATATTATAATTTTAAAGAATAAAAAAAATCTTACGCATTTTTAAACGTTTATTATATGAGATTTTATACAAGGAAAATCTTAAAATACCTGATTTCACTTATTTGATTACTATATTTTTCAAATGAATATTTTTAAATTTCTCGCGTATATTTTATTTCGAACCTTAGTCAACATTATTAATGCAAAGAAAGTCCAAAGTTACATTATAATCTTAATCGATTAACATTTCACTGTGTATGTAAATTTTAATGTTTTGATGTTGTTTGTGAAAGTTTTAACAATATTTTTTAAATTGATTATCACAATGTAACAACATTTGTACAATAAAAATATTCTATGTATATAAAAACAAGTCATTTATTTACGCATAAATGGATTACTCATTATAAATATTTTATATACTATTTAAGAACACTGCCTGGATAAGCATCAAAAACACATTTTATAAATTGTTTACAAATATTCTTAAACAAGAATTATAAGTATTATTATAAAAAACATAATATTAAAAGAAGAAGAAGAAAAAAAAGTAGCGGATAAAATACTTTATATTAAAATTAATTGTCTTATTTAATTATTTTTGAGCTTCCAAAGACAGCAAAAATTGAAAAATTCAATACCCAATACAATTCTAAAAATGTTACGTACATCATCAAATAAATAGTATAATCAGTATTAAAAAATTTATTTTTTATTAAATTACTATTCATTAAACAGAATTATTTATTGAAAATAAAATTGCTCAAATAAATCAATTTCTAATGCTTAATAATATTATATGTAATGTTTAAAATTTGTTTATTTTTTTTTTTTATAAATAGATGATTATACATACTTAATTATTATATTTATCAATTCCGACTATCTAAAAACAAGAATGATTTTATTTATTGCTACAAACAAGCTTCGTAATTATGTTATTAGACATTCGAAACATTAACGATTAACGGTATAACGAACTTTAAAAATTATCTTAAATAAATACAAGAAATTAATTTGTCATGAAAAGCTAAACAAAAGTTGGTGCTGCGATAAATCAATTACTCTCTTATATACGTACACTGTATTTTGCTCATAAATCTCACTGCTGTTAAGTAGCTATGTCTCTCTCTCTCTCTCTCTCTCTCTCTCTCTCTCTGCCTCCAAAGATATAATGAATAATTGCCATTTAAACATTTTGTGCACATCATGAATTTTTTTTAAACTACCTTTATAAACTTTCATTGATTTAAATCTTTAAATACACTAAAAATTTAATAAAAATAGAAAACGCAGACTATGAAACAGATAATATTGATATCCGTAAAAACCAATGTAGGGGCACAAATACGTAGATAAATTTTTAAAAAATTGAGCGAGAGAGAGAGAGAGAGAGAGAGAAGTTAAAAGTAATTCATTAAGTATCACTCTTTAATTTTTTTTATTTAGTTACGGCGAAGTTTGTTCTTTTATTTTTTTTTTTTTTTTTTTTTTTTTTTTTTAAGCACAATTCATTCGCAGGAATCTTACGTAGCTTATTCCTTTTTCGATTTAAATTTTGGCGAAGGTCTGTGCACAGAAACACCGCGAGAAACTTTAATGGTCACATATATATTTAAAAGTGTGAATAATTGCCAAAAAGTGATGGAGCACATTTTTTATTTGTGATGAATTAAAGTGAATAAAAATGTTGCGGCAATAAATATAGCGTGACGTTACTTCATTCTAAAAATATTTAACTTTAGTAATTAAAAATAATAATTTTATATATAAACTATCTGACAAATAGCGCTAAATAATAAAATTGAATTATTTTAATGTATTTTATTTTATTAAATAATCATATGTTTTAGGTTTAAAAAGAATTAGATCGAAGAATACAGTGTAAAGATCTGATATATATGCAAGCAAACTTAATTTTAATAACTATTAATGACGAATCATTTAGTTCAATAATATATATGAAATTATTTTCCATAAATTGGTTTCATTCCATAAATCCTGATGAAAGGAACATACAGAAACAATAGCAGCTACCTATTATCTTGTTGTTGTTGTTGTTGTTGTTGTTGTTGTTGTTAATATTGTCAATAATCTAATAAATCAATAAATAATAAATTTAATGGGCATTGGTATGTTAATATTGGAGATGAAATTGAAATTAATAGTCTCTATCTAAAATATGCCTTCTCATACTGACTAGTCGAACAAGTAAATTCTACATCACAAACACTGAATTTTATTTCAAAATGTAAATTACTATAAATGTCAAGTTACGTAGAGCTGCCGAAAACGTAGAATAATGAGGTAATTAAAGGAACGAACGATTGGACAGGTATTTAATAAAAATAGCGAAATGAGCGTAAGCAAAAAAGAGACGGAAACTCGTGCGAAACAGTTATCGCATGTAAGAATCAGAGGTGCGATTCGTGTGCGTGACATTTCTATTTATAGAACGCGTCGCCTTCTGTTGGAATCTGAGCACGAGCTAATTTTAGATGGGTATCGCAGTTGACTCCTCCCACGAATGCAAGAATTCCTCAAGGAGAATATCCTTGTAAGCGGCGTGCCTACACGTGAAACTCCGCAAAAGCAACATGGGCTTTTATATACTTTTAGGTACGCATTTAAAGGCCTACAACATATAACCTGATTTTATTTTAAATTTTATTATTAGAACTAATTACGTAGCCGTTCCGTTGTATATTAAAAGAAAAATGCAGCGTGCTATCTTGCGTGCCGTGGAATTCTCTACGTGTGAAATAACTTGATAAAATAACTTAAGAAAATTAAAGTTACTTTTTTTTTACACCTTCAAGCAATAAATATAATTTATCTTTTCATTTTCCGCAAAGAATCTTAGTAAGAATGAAGGTAATGATATTTCATTCGCAATATATTACTGTTATATTATTTGTTAAATTCTTTAAATATATTTTAGAAAAATTTAAGATATGTTAATATGTTGATAGCACTCATCTGAATATAAATGCATATTGGCTCAAGTTTTGAGAGGAACTGATGTATTTCGTCTGAAATTGTTGCAAATCGTGGTTATCAAATGTTGCTTAAGCTTCAATTTTATTGAATAATATATTATATTACGAATATATATTAAATATCGATAAAAATTATACTGTATTTAAACGTAGTATACGCAAAAATTTCATCACTTGGTAAATTCTTCATAAATTTTCTAACTCATAACGTCATAATAAATAATAACAATAATGATTAATACTATTGTCGTTGTTGTCGTTGTCGTTGTCGTTGTCGTTGTCGTTGTCGTTGTCGTTGTCATTGTCGCTGTCGTTGTCGCTGTCGTTGTCGTCGTTGTTGTTGTTATTATTATTATTGCTGTTGTTGAGGTAGATATATTTAAAATGTAGTGCTTCGCAAAACGATGACAGTGGTCGGAAAGGTAAACAATTTAACTGAAAAATATATTCCACGTAGTGGCACTCGGAAACTCTTCCTCTTTTTTTAAGCCGATAAGCCGGAAGCTCTTTCCATGTTCCCGGTGCATAAAGACCGAGAGATATAGCTTATCACAAACCATCCATTTTCCAACGCAGTCAGATTCTCGAGTCCCTTCTTTTCGTAAAAATATAGTGCTCGACAAAAAAGCCGCGCGCTTCCTGGTAAAGTCAAGGTTGCGACGGAGACAAAAAGTGGGGTGAGGAAAAGGGATGAGGAAGGCGATATCTGCCACGTAACTTTCGAGCAGAGTACGAACGAAGCTGGGCAGGAGACGGGAGGAAGGAAGGAGCAGGTGGGGTTGCACTGATCTCGTGTAATTTCATTCGAGCCGTTCATTCGGCTGGACCCGCCGCTGTCCGTTATCTTCTTTTTTACGACTCGTCTTGTTGGAGCCTCTCTCATTATTTATCGCCGAACAAGATTCTCGATGTGCATAGTGTCGGGAAATTCAAAGTGACGAGTATATGGGTTATCACGAGCGAAATAAAAATATGCTGAGATTATTCCTGAGAAATTAATTTAGAAATAAAATAGTTCCATTAGCGTAAATAACATGTATTATGTTACTTAATCTTTTTTGTTTAGTTTATACGTATACACACACACACACACACACACACACACACACACAATATATATATACAATATAAAGTGTATACAATTTTGAAGATTGTAATGATAAATGAACGTTAGTGCATAATAGTAAATTAATAAATACCTGAACTCGTTGCCGATGTCTATCTTGCTTTCTTTGTCGTTTTTCCAACTCCTCTTTTCGCTCGATGAGTGATCTAATTTCGCCAACAGGAGCTGTCGTCGACGATGTTACACTGTCATATCCAGTATCTCCGATGGACAGCCTCGGTGAAGTTAAAACTGATTCATCCTCATCTTCGCTATAGCTTTCAACCATTAACTCCGAGTCGCTCTAAAGTAACATAAACTCATATTAATGAATAACTTACAGTCTTTCTCAGGTTATATTGATAATAGTAAATACACAAGTATACATAAATATAAGTTTTGTTAATTTAATCGTTAATTGTGCAATGTAATTGATCCAATACCTTTATTTATAAGTAATATTTTCATTCGTATAGATCATAAATTTTCCATAGCATATGATTAATTTTTTCACTAATTTATAGTAAAAAAATCTACCACGACGTTTAGCTTACATCGGCGTATATAAAACATTTACTATTACTATTATCATTGAAATAAAAAATTATAATATAATTGAACATTCAAAATGTTTAATTTATTTATGTAATGGAATATGAGAAATTACTAGCAAGTCGAGATATAAATTAATAATTTATAATCATTGTTACCTTATACTTGGTACAATTTATTTACTACGAAAAGTCAGGAATCGTATATAAACAAAGATTTATTATATAAAATGTTTATTTGTGAGACAATATTATTAGTTAAAATTCTATATGTTTATGTAGGACACCCCCCGCCCCTATCACTAACGATTAACGAGAATGCAATTATTATATTAACGCAAAAATTACAGTTTATGGAAGAAAAGGTTTGGCTGAGCCTATTTATCGGTTATAAATCAGGATAAAATCTCAGGGTTACCTTGTTCTCTAAAGTTACGCACCTGTTCTGGGGGAGATCCTGGGGCACTTGTGTTTGAAGCTTCGACGACGGAAACATATTCGCTAACACCGGTATCACACTTTTGCAATTTCAGCACCGGTGTCTCTAAGCCACAGAGGAATACTTGACCGAAGAAAAGAATCTTATATATCCTCAGGCAGACTTGAACTACTTCCTGCACCGATGAACATCAGAGAAATTTAAAGTTTGTAATTTATGTGTAATTTTATTGTGGCTATGGTGTTTTTTCAAGAGGTAGATTAGCCATTTAATGAATATGAAATTGATCGGGGCTGTTTACTCTAAGAATACTAATTTTCAACGAATCAATTTTATGATCGAATAATTTTCATTAATGAAAAATGTTAAAATCTGCGGTGTGCGTGTTTATGCTCTGCATATATGCTTTAGTCTAAATTCAATTAGTGTTCGATTTATGTTTTTTTTCTTCTTCTTCTTCTTCTTCTTTTTTTTTTTTTTTTTTTTTTTTTTTTTTCCATTCACACGAGTACTATGTTACAAGTTATTATAAAAATGACATTTTTTTGATCGATTTATCCAAATATAATTTTACTTAATTTTCAATTAAAAATCAGTCTATTTAATATTATAATAAACAATATTATATGAAAATATTTTTTATATTAGAAAATAATGTAGTTGATGTTTCTTGAGTTTAACAACTTAAAATTATTATAATTACCGATAGTTAAAGTTTATTTTTGGAATACTAAACTTTATTTTTAAGTGGTTTATAATTCTTTAATAGTTTTATTCAAGCTCATTTTTCGATAATTAAATCTGTAAATTATATATTATTTAATTCGTTTTTAATATGCCTATTATAAAAGTGGTCACTCACGATCTCTTTATACAAATTTCTATAACCTATTGAGATATTTTTATTCTATTATTTCTGCAAATGTGAATCAGATGGAATTATTTACCTTCTTATTTTTGTGTTCTATTTGTATAAATAACTTGTATATTTAAACACACAACGTTACGACAATACAACAAAAATTATTTAATAATACTGTAAGTATAAGAGGCATATGCGTAGAGAAATTAAATATAATTTACTTCATTATTAAAATAATAATTAAACTTGTTATTATCGGTAAATAAATAATTTTCGAAGAAATGAAAGAAAACATTCTTAAAAAAAAAAAAAAATTCAAAGCTTCCATTACAGAAAATCAGTTATTCGATATCGGTAATTATTAAGTAGTAATAGTTACTTTATTATTACTAATCACTTGATGCAATATTAAAACTCCTAATGCATAATTATACTTAAAAGCCGAAGGAATGGTATGATTAAACCGTCTGCAGTTGATTATTAAAGTCCTCATTACCGAACCAAAGGAACTCGTTGAAAAGAAGCAGAGATGGAGAAATATAAAGAGCAAAACAAACTTACCATATCTTCTTTCTTGTCAGCGTAAAAGGGATCGTGTGGATTCGACATGAGTGGTGTGAATCCAGAAAGTGTTGTGTCCTCCGGCAGTTTCACGTCCTTTAATTCTAGAACAAATACATCGAGAAAAACAATGAAGATTTATTATTGCAATTATGAATTTCGTACGTGTTTGGTTAATTTACGTAAAATATCACATGAAACCCTAAGACTCTACTGCAAGAACAGAGAGTAAGAGAGAAAAATAGAGGGAGAGAGAATGTTATAACAAGTCGTTGGAATATTAAATATTTCTAAAACAATGATTAATTATAGTAAAATAATTAAGAATATTCATCAATATCACTTTCATTACTTTTATAATTAACTTATAAAATATGCATGACTTAACGATTTATTATGGAATGAAATTTCTGGAACTCCAGCTGTGTATCCACTATATTCAAATGTACATTAAATTGAAGCAGTGATAAATGACATTTATGTTCGTTTACGTGCATTCCTTTTTCGAAAAAGAAAATATTTACAAATTTAAGTCAGTTAAGTAAATTTGCTATGAATTTTTTTTATTCCATTATAATTACTAACTACAAATCATTACTTAATTTGATTATAAGTAGTAACATAAATTATGTACGCACATTAACTTATTAAGGCTAATAAAATATAATAATATTTTTACAATAGCTTTTTAATAATTAGTTTTTGCTTAAAATTTTTAAGTTAAAAATAATGAATTCATATACTTTTAGCTCATTGTTGTACAGTTAGACTATGGTAAACTTTATATCTTTAAGGAATATTCGTAAACATTTATCATAAATAATTATATAAAAATATATATTAAAAAGTTTATCGTTCATGTATACACTATTAGATTTCAGAAAATTTACAACAAAAAAAAAACACGAACTATGACAGTGACAGGATGTTATCGTGTAAATGTCGCTTTTATCATTCAAGCAAACGACCAAATCCGTGTGTGTGTGTGTGTGTGTGTGTGTTTGTGCGTGCGCGCGCGCGCGCGCGTGTGTAGGATTACACGTACCAATATGCAATAAAAGAACAGTATTAAAAAATTAAGTAACGAGAAATCGGGAATATGAACGAAAGTAAAATCATCGTATAAGCTTGAGTGATTTGAAACAGAAAAACTACGAGGAAATAAAGAAAAATTGAAAAATAATCATCGTTACTAGATGATATACAATAACTCCATAGGAATCTAAAGACTAAAGTTTAAACTTAACATCTGCCCTATTAAAACAATATATATAACTATGATGATTCCTTTACATTTACTACATTAAATTCAGAATGTTGAAAAGCTTGAAGTTTAACATAAACTTTTCTTATAAGATCAACGTTCTTATAAAAAAAAAAATCACCTACAGACCGGAAAATGCCTTTTTACTATAAAAAATTTACTGTTTTATCTATTTAAACATTTCAATGAGACGAAAATTGGTAGATCTTCTATAAATTTGGCGTTTCAATTATTTTTTTCGCATTACTCTCAATATTATATTAAATAATTGTTCTCGCAAGATCCAAATAACAATTTATATAATACATGTTTTTAGCCAAAAAATATTCTACGATATTAATATACCAAAATTGCAAATTTCACATCGATAATCCTAAAAAATTTTAATTCATTGTTTAAAACAACAACAACAGTTACTAAATAATTATTAAATCAATGATTTATTTATGAATTTATCAGAACACGAATTATAATGGCTTATAATACTTTTATAGTATATAAATATAAATAAATTTATCCATGTATTTTTAATCATTACGGTGTTTGTTTTTTATTTTTCTTTTATCAACCGTGGATCTGGCATTAATGTTTCAGGAGCCCGAGGATATTAAATATTCTTTTTATACTTTCATGCAGCGTCCGTCACCTTTTGGTCTAGGAATTACAGACTTACAAAGTAGTGTGTTTAGCCTCACACATGTATTGACATGATTTGAGAGAGATTAAATCAGACCTTGATGCGACTCAACTATCTTATATATTTATAAGTTTTAAAGGCACGTCATTGACAGGTACTTACTGCTCATATCACTAGCTACAGGCAGTTTAATACACTCGTCAAATGAACTTACATTGAATTTATAAATACATAAATAGTAAATATTATTGAGTGCTTATTTATTTATTAATTATCCGAAGACTATATGTTGTAAACAGAACAATCGAGAAGGCAGACATTCATAATTTGTAAATAAAATATGCATCATTACAATAATATTTTGTAAAATCAATAATCGAAGCATATAACCAAACATTTCGCTCATTTATAACATTTATGACAATTATATTATTCTAATATATAAAAGAGTACTATCAAATTGTACTTCTTAATCGACTAAAAGTTGAATCTAATAAAGCTATTACATTGCATTTGCGATTTAATATTATGTAGAGAATATTAAATGCAACGATTTAAAAATAAATTATTTTTAATAATAATAAATAATGTAAAAATAAAAAATTATCAAAATCAATTGACTTAATATTGAAGAATTTATCGAATAATGATTTTTTAATATCATTAGCTATCCCACAACGTAGAATATATGTTTTCACGAATTACATACAGTTAATGACGATTATATATTCTTAAAATATTTCAACAAATTTTTGATACTTAACTCTCTCTCTCTCTCTCTCTCTCTCTCTCTCTCTCTCTCTGTGCGTCCGTCTCTCTTTCGCTTCTCTTCTATAAATAAGTTAATAAGCTAATAATAAATCCATCTATACATAAAATACTGTATACATATAATAATCATACAAATTCTTGTCATTGCACGATGTATTATAATTCTATATTAAAGACTCGTTATTGTCTAGACTCTTAGGCATCAATGATTAATGTTCTTTAAATACCAAGTAATCAAAAGAATTAGACAATCAAAAGTCCTATGATTTTATAACTATTTCCATTGTGATCAACTGTTTCTCATAAAGTAATCATAAATACTTGAAAACCATCTAAATGATAAAAAGCTGAAAATCTTACTAAGTATAAATATTAACTTATATTTCTATCATAATTATTAGAAATTGAATAAGTAATTTATGCAAGTTTCGGAAAATTGTAATTGCTTAAGTATTTATCATTACCATGTAATGATTAATTATCAATTTTCGTTCTGAGAATTTATTTAAACTCAAATAATTGCTACTATATTTAAAAAAAAATTTTCTTAATCTATAAATAAAACAAACAATTTAAATTTTTTATTTTAAACAGTTTGTGTAATTGTTTTTCGATTTTTTTCATGTTATAAAATTAATTATTATTTTTATTATTTTGTCTTCAAATTTTTCAAGTATTAGTCTCAATGCTGTTTTATTGCTTTTTTTTTTTAATCGTCATAATATCAAAATAAAAAAAGAAAAAAAGAAAAAAAAAAGATATATTAATACATATTCAACATGTATTACGTAATATATAAGTGTAATACGAATAAAATAATGAAAAATTATGATTAAAGCATTTATTTAATATAAAATATATGTACAATGATTTACACTGAGCTGAGGTTTTTAAGCGTATTAATATTTTTAAACATATTTTTGTAATATTCCTAAAGTTAAAAGCTACTGTACTTAATTTTCATATATAATTACGTAATATTTTATAAAGCGTAACGTTTATTTTCATTGAACTAGATTAAAAAAAAGTAGCACAAAGCTCAACATCTTACATTAAAACAATACTAGTAATTTTGTCATTGTAAATGATGATTTTAATTGTATAAACAATTAAAAATATATCGATAAATAATAATATAGTAATAAAAATATTAAAATATAGCGCGGAATAGAATGATGTGAAACAAGAGCGTTTAAATACTTAAAATTAAATAATATATAAAATATTCCATAATAGTAAATAATAGTAAGCGCTGGCGTTACGTTACATAAATATCACGAAGAATGAGCATTAGATGGCGAAAATCAGAAACATTAAGAACGGACAATATAAAAAGTCCCTAAAGGAATGGTACGTACGACTGCCGTCAGCGTTAATAGTGCCAAACAAACGCGATTATTCATTTGTAAGCGGCTGCGTATTAATTGCCAGCGCTTTTACAACGAGATAAACGTGAAGCAATTGAGTAAGAAGCCGCTTTTTGATTCCCCCTATAAACGAAATAAAAAGATCCCGGTTTTGCAGTGGAGTCGTTGCCTCTGTTCAATAGACATTTGCGGCTCAAACGCTAAACAAGTTATGACGTCGTTACAGACATTTTATGCTGATGAAAAAGACAGTTGGAACAGCGCCTATTCTAATGGAATAAGCATTAGTAATTCGGTGGCACAGACGCGCTTCTATTATCAGGAGCCTTGGTTTCCTCGTGTATCTCGATTTACCATACGCGCCAAAGACAAATATCGACGACAGGACGCTTACACGACTTCACCATTACAACTCCGAGTGGCTGATGCTTTTATTGTGAACGACACACTAAACGACCACACTAAAAGTATGGTGAATAGGCTCCTGGTGACGAAACTAAGAACGAACTCGCGCCAGAATCCTTGTATAACGAGCACAAACAATATGATGAATATACGTGGGTATCGATTATTCTTACGAATGAACATTGTCAGTTAGCACTAGGGACTCCAAAACTCGCCTCTAATATTAAAATTTTAAATTAAATAATAATTAACATTTGTATTATACTTCGATGAAATAATCATTCTAGTATTTCATCCTATCTAGGTTTATTTTATATAATTTCCTTGTATTAACTGTATTTTTAAGAACTCATTGCGTGTTTCAGAGATCACTACGGATTAAAATTTTTAATGTACATCAACGTATGAGCATTTTAAACGAATGTATTGTTAAGCATTATTACGTTCACGTAAGAAGATAAAATATTTTTTGTTAACATTGGAACTTAACTGAAAAATCTAGTAAAGCTTTTAAATTTACATGTATTTCCTTATTGTAAGAATTATTTTTTGAAATATAATAACAATCACTACGTTTAATAATTTCGAGTAACAATAAGCAATATGAATGTAGTATTGTTCTGTATTTATATTACATATTTGTATGTGAATATATAAATACAAACATAAAAGATATTTTTAAGATTTAATGTTTGTTTAAAGATTTCGTATAAAATTATTTAAATATGTTATGTAAAAATATTTGTTGGTAAAATCATTATACACAGCTTTGATGAAATGATCGTAACTAGCAGTAGTTTCGAAAATTGCTTTCCAATACATATATAAAAAATTTATTTTACTCTATATTTCACCTGCTTAATTATAATTTTTAATGTTAATTTTATAATAATAATATTATTATCAATTTTATAATAATAAAAATCATTTTAATCGCTTAAACAACTTAATAATAACAATCGATTTATTGAATTCATAATAAAAGCTTTTTGTATAATTTCTATTCAATAAGTTAATAAAAGTCTATCCTGAAAATGTGTTAAATTAATAAACTTCACTGCAATTAATATAAAATATGTTCAAACTTTCGTAATGAGATGTTGAAAAATAAATTGATATTGACGTATTCATATAACTGTGAATTGACAAATAAGGTGATTTATGATAATAAATTTATGTAAATACTATAATATAACATCGTTTTTTACATATTTCATAATAGAATATTATTTCTGTTTGTTAATTATGGTTAATATCACATGCATTTTGTTTGGATAGATTCTTCCTATATATATATATATATATATATATATATATATATATTAGGATTTAAGGTATAAAAAAGCATTTAAATTATGTATTGAAATTAAACGGAAAAGGAAATTTTATTATATTATTAAATTCGGTTGAAATGATTTAATTATTTTAATTCGCATATACATACATATATATATATATATATATATATAGTATTTTGATTATCAGTTGAAGCTTAATTATAAAAATGTTTGTAATCTACGACTGGATGGTCCGCCAGATTTTATGTTTCAACCTTTGGCAATTATAAATTATAAAGCATTCAAAGATGCAAAATCAAATTAAATGTAATTAAAAAGAGAACACGAGTCATTGATACTTGTTTCCTCATCTTTATCTCCGAAATAATCTTACAAATATTAATACGTTAATTGCAAAAGATAGATAAAAATATCTTATGGAATATAACATAAAATATAATAATGATAAATGATATTGATATTAAATGAGCAAAATTATAAAATATATTATTAGTAAATGTTCAAAATTTAACTTGAATTAATCAGCCGTCAATTATATAAAATCAATAATTCTGTAATCAATCAAACAAATTTTTTATTAAGTGATCTACAAAGTTGAGAACGTAACGTTCGTATTCATTAGTAAATTCCTCGTTTATTCAAACTTTATATTGCACCGTATTTTAAATGCTAGTGTCTGTACGTTTGGGATCAACTAGGAAAAAAAAGAAGAAGAAGAAGAAGAAGAAGAAGAAGAAGAAGAAGAAGAAGAAGAAAGAAAGGAGTGTAGTCTGTTAACTCGGAGCTGATAAAACGGCCCACGATCATCAAAGATACAAAAAAAGCGTTGCAAATGATTGATTATTTCGGTTACTTATGCATGTACGATATAAATTCTGCTATAGAGGCATTTGTACGTAACCGTCTTGTTGTTGCGTTAGCAGACGATAGAAATCGGCTAGCTCATTTCGATTACAGTGATTAGTACAGCTCGCCGTCGATCAACAGGAATTCCCTGACAAGGATGGAAAGAGGGGAAGAAAGTGAGAAAAGAGAAGAAAATAAAGGGTGGCATACGACGTCGGATAAAGAGAATGTAAGGACTAGAAAAGGAAGAGCCGAGAGGCAAATACGTTGACATGAAAAAGGAAGATGTTGTTGGAAGCGTTAGCAAGGAAAATAAGAATTTCCCTCCGTGCTAATCACGAAGACGATAATAAAATGGATGTTTACAGGATACTTTGACTGCGCACGTTAAATATCATGCGGCATATTTTATATGCAATATAGCTGACTCAATGTATGAAACATGATACTAAAGTATGTGACGAAGATGAGAATAGAAAATTGTATATTTTATAATTATGCTATTTAGAAGTAACTGCTATACTTCTTCATATTTAGGTATTTCTACCAAGGAATAATAAATTAATAAAGGAAAGTAATTAATTTTTTTTTTCTTCTTTTTCTTTTTTTGTCTACATTGTATATATGGAATATGAACGGTTTACAAATTGACAAATAAAAATTAATAGTTTTATTTAAATTTCATTTTTAATGGAGTACTTAGTAGAGTACCGAGTTACAAGAATATTATTTATATTCAGAATTATTCTGGCGTTAATCTTCGTCATGCAGAATTTATAATTCTTTTTAACGCGTTTAAAGCCTTTTAATTTATAATACTTAATAATTCATTTAAAACCTTCAACGATATTCATTTCATATTGATTATCGTCAAAATTAATAGTATCGCTTAAAATGTTACATCCGAACGGATTGAGTTCATTATGCTGTTGAAAGTCATGAACGAATAGACAATCCATAATATAATGAAGAAATATATTTGTTTTAAAAATGTTTAAAAGAAATTGAATATATGTGTGCAATTCACAGACTTGAAGTGTATTTATTACTTTAATTTTATTTTTATAATAGCAATTTTTCCTTAAATTCCGTTGTATCGTTAACGATTAGCTTGTAATTGTTAATTATTAATGTTTAAATTCCCAATTAAAATTTTCAAAAACAAATCATCAAGTCGAAGGCCATTATTAATTCATTAAAATATTCTCGATCGGAATTAGTTTTGAAGAGTTTTTTTCTTTTTTCTTGGAAATTATCGATCAAAAATTCTGTTGCTTACCATAATACTAAGCGTTTGATGTACCATTGATGTAATTTAATGATTACCAATCAATACTTCCCTTACCTTAACCGACCATTCCCCTCGAGCGTAAATACTTTAATCAGCGAGTACATCCGAGTTATAATTTATAAATATAAATGCAAAATAGTTGTATGCCCAATTGCTTAACTTACCATCTTCCCGCCCCTCGGCATCTTTTGACTGAATCAAGAGATTCCGCGAGTACTCTAATTTTTCAAGGAGATTCACCATCGTTGCAAGCCTGTTCCACGCATCCCCTGGAGGGCTGTAACAAAAAGCATAAGATTAATCAAACACGAACGGTTATTTTTCTAATTGCCTGTCAGATGTGCGCCATTGTTCTTTTTCTTTTTCCAAATGAATCAGTGCTACAACAGAGTGCTACAATCTCCAAATAAAAGAATGCTGCTTCATGTGCTCAATAATTTTCTTTTTAGTCTTTTAGTAATAACTTAGTAAGTGTATAGAATTTATAGTCTGCCGTTTGCCTTTTTTTTTTCTTTACAGGGGGAAGTGTTAAATACTAAGAAATGCATTCAATGACATTTACAAAGCAACATTAATGTGTACGCTCAAATGACAAGATGAGTGTAGTTATGATAGCGATCATGTTGATTATTCAAAAGTTGTTTAACTTTTATTAATATAATAAAAGCTACTGAATAATTTTAATCTTGGGGAACATACTAATAAACTTGTTTTAATTTCAGATATTGAAGATCGACTGATGTTCAAGAAATATCGACTATTATATCTATATTCTTACATTTATAAAATGACATTTGTATTTCCTTATATTTTACTTTACTTTGAATTTGATACATAATTATTACTGCTTATGCAAATAGAAAAAAAAACTCGCGAATGAATTTATATAACTATATCAATAAAAATATTATTATTATTATTATTATTATTATTATTGTTGTTGTTGTTGTTGTTGTTGTTGTTGTTATTATTATTGTTATTATTATTATTATTATTATCATGTAAAACATATTTCACATATAATTGTATTAAATCTCTTATTTTTAAGTTACTAAATAAATTGTTTGCCAACTCTCGTAAGAATTAAAACTTTGACAAATACTATGAATTGTATATAATATAAACTAAAATAATTTAAACGGCGAATTATATAGATTAGAATTATATAAATTAGAATAAATTGAATTTTTTTCATTTGTTAGCAAATATAATCTTTTCATATCAAATATTTGTTTCTGTATTGTTTGAAAAAAATGTGACTATATATACTTTTAAGAATTGCTTTAATTGAAGAGACGCGCGCAATAAAATGCTAAATTAAATATTGACATTGAATTCAAAATGTCTGATTTTTTTTTTAAATTTATCTATGTGAATACACAATTGCGTATATTTAGCTGAAAGATTTTGAATACGTAATTTAGTTATTTTTTTTATTATTCTTTCTTGTAAAATATGTCAATGTATATACGACGGGCAATATGTGCAAAATTCTTCATGGAAATAAAAAAAAAGAAAAAAAGAAAAAAGAAAAAAAGAAAAAAGAAAAAAAGGAGACAATTAAGAACATTTCAAATAGCACCTACAACCGAAATACCGGATTTGTGCTATGCGACCGGAAATAAAAATATTCTCGAGCCGGTACGTCATAACGGAAATATGGACATAAGCCTCGACAATCAAAAAGACCTGTGAATGTCCACGACTCCCTGCTAATTAATGCACACCTACACGCATGCGTACACGCGCGCGCACACACATACGTAAAGAGGAAAATACTTAGATATAAAGCCTAGAGGAGGTTAATAGTCTCGAACCGGTCCACTTGTTATTCCGATATCTGGACACCGTTCTGGGGCCGTTCCATCCCAACTCCTGATCATCAGCGTCAATCGTCAAGACTTTAAGAATGGAATACAAAAGAAGCTCTTTAGAAGCGAAGTCATTGAACATGCGACTAGACGTAGCTAACCCTGATTATAAACATTCGCCCTGGGACAATAATGTCCCAGCTACCAGAACTTAAACTGGTTTTACGATGTAATTCATCCTCACAAAGCTTTGTATAAACCAATGATAATCCGAAGTAATCAATCCAGGTAGTCATTGGTCGGGATGAAGTGAAGTAAACAACCTGATGGGGGAAGTATCTCCTTTGTCACGAAGCAACATATTTGACGTTCTATCTCGCGTTCCTTTTTTATACTCTGCCCATCACCTTTTCTTTTAACCAATAATTATGAAATATGCAATAATTCGTTATATCTTAGTAATTAACTTAAAATCTCTATTATCATTCCTATGAACGATGAAAGTGCTTTAACAGAGAATGAATTAAATCTTTCGAGAATACGAAGACATTTATATTCTACAAGAATGTAACAGTAGCAATACATATATATATATATATATATATATATATATATAATTAACATTGAGTATATTAACACTGAGTATACTGTATTGCTGCATAATAAACATACAGACCTTGTTTATTAAAATTTAAGATAAAAGATTGTAAATATTAGATGTTGAGAGAGCAATTTGAAAATATATTTCTTTCAATAAGAAAGAAAATATGTCCCTATTTCACTTTAACGATTTACTTTTTAAATCTTTAATTTTTAAATCTATTATTAAATTTATCGTAATTGGTTAATTTAACTATTCTTAATTAAAACGATATCATTTAGCCTATTAACATACTTTAAAATTATTATTTTCTACTATTATTTATTTATTTTTTTTTTTTTTTTTTTTTTAATGATCTATACGGAAAGTACGTACATTATTCACTACTCAAATAAAACGGAAAATATCCGCACCGTTGTGCAAAAAATAAAATCATAAAGGTATTTTTAGTAGGACCACGGTGACAATAAACTCTAAAAAATTCAAATAATACATTACTTACTAGACAATATCCATTTCTATTAAAAAAAAAATATATATATATATACATATCTTATGTTGTTAAATTGCATAACAATTACAGACATAGCGCTTCTGTTAAAAAAATTAATGATAATTTTAGACGTTAAGTTACGATTATTTTCCAACACTTTACAAACTTTAATCCTAAAAATGCGCGTATTAAGCGTAGACGCGCGCAAAACCTTAAAAAAAAGATTTATATACTGCAAACAAAGAAAGTATTAATTCTTTAAAAAAAAAAAAAAGTTCCTTAAAATAAACCTTGGTTACATGGCTTTTACAATACCTACCACGTAATAACATAATTCAGACCAAGGCATTCCAATATATTACGTGATGCCCATTCTCAAACCATCAAAGCTAACAATAAGTTTAAGCAGGCCGGAACGATCGAGCAAACCTGGTGGTGACTACACCATATTTTGCAAAGAAAGATAAACTGTAAGAACTTTTACCTCCTTTGCATGGAATGCAATGATGCGTTACCAGGACGACCTCTGACCTAGAGTCCGTGCAAACCTGATTTGCCTTACCAGCGAATGAGGAAAGAAAGGCCGCAAAAGTGTCACAGGATACCACGATGAAGGTGAATACAAGTGGTTGTTGCGTTACCGCCTTCGCCACGTTGTGTGACCCCCTCGCTTACTTTCGCGCGATCACGTCGGCTATGATTCCTTGAACATCACGAAATGGAGGACTGATAACGGAACTGCCGACCGATTTTCAACAAAATACGTGCAAGCTTTTATGCAAAAGTTCATTTATTCTCCGTTCTGACATGTACAGCAGAATATCAATTAAATTTATGAAACTAAATCGACATCCCAATTAACATTCGATGTACATATAACGCATGTCCTTTTATGTGAAAGTAGTGGGGAAAAAAAAAAAAAAAAAAAAAAACCACCGTACAACTACATAAGTAATACTGCTCGTAATATATGAAATATGAGGATGCAATTAATTGACTGGTACCGTCGTAGATCCAGTTTTTAATCAAAATCCGATTCTTGAAGTGAGCTATATTAAAGTCGCATAACAAAGAAACGAGTTCCGTGATTATGGATAAACGTATTATTTATCGGCAAGATGATTTATAAGGAAATATCGCCACATTTATTGTAATATCACACAGTTTATAAAGTCAAAGTTATTTGTACGGTTGACTTTAACGCGCATTCTACAAAGTCAAAAATATTACAATAATATTATTACAAAGGAAATACCTTTAAAACACCATGCGTTTAAACTAATTAAACCTTCCAAATTTTTATGTTAATGGAAAGGAAATTTAATTAGATGTTCCTAAATAGAACAAACTAATTTTCAAAAATTTTCAAAAACTTTTTACAAATTCAATTATTAATTTTATATCGCGTGTTTTCCTATTATATTTCTATCTATTCCTAAAATTATAAAATGACCATATTTTATAATTATTTAAAAATTTCCCTTTCATCATTACCGTAACAAATAAGGCTGTTGTCTAAACTGTCTTCAAGTGTGGCGGATGGGGATGGGGATGGGGATGGTGATGGTGATTGGGTGGGAGGGGTCGGGAAGGGGTAAACTCTGGGTGGGTGGATGGGTGTTTATATATGAAAAAATTGTTCAACTTAAAAATATTTTATCATCATAGTAATATCTTTTTTCGATATTTAAGATTACGAAACGTATGCTTTTACATTAAGAAATCAACTTTGATACGTGGAGAGTTTACTAAGATACCCAATTGATATCAATTTTAATATTTTTCATTTTACTGTAAAACTACAAATATTACTTTTAAATGTTTAGTAACAGCGAATGAAAAAGGTATGCACCTCTTTGTTTTTATCTTTTCGTCGTCAACAATTAAACAACAGGTTAGCTATTCTCACTTGATGGATTTTCATTGGCATGGTGGTATAACAAGTCGCAAAGTCGATGCAATTAACTGTTGACCTTTTACGAGTAGTAGTCACGAAGAGTAACGAAGATACTCCAACTAAGAGTTTCAGCTACGGAAGTCGAGAATAGAGAGAGAGAGAGAGAGAGAGAGAGAGACAGAGAGACAGAGAGAGAGAGAGAGAGAGTGAACGAGAAAGAAAAGCTATCGCGATACTTTTACCGGAGCATGTCATGACGGAAGTTGTTAACCGATCAGACTTGCATAACTTTCTTTGCAATCCTAAAGCATGTACACAAGTCTCTTGTTTTGCATGAAAGAAATATTTCAGTGGTTGTCATTAATTTCATTGGATATTGATTTTATTTCTTTAAATTTTGCGACTGTCAATTTTCATATAAAATAAATATATATTTTATAATATCTTCTTATTATCTTACACATAGTTGTCCAAG